GTTTGAATGCACTCAATGGGCTACTGTGTCACATAGCATGTGGACACAGGGAGGTGAGCTGTGCTTCTTCCAGCAGGCACAGGCCAACTTTACTTCCCAGAACTCACTGCTCATTAAGTAGTCAACCAGCAACTAAGAGGAAACAAGCTGAACTGGAAACCTTCACTTGTGTTGAAAGCCCCTTAGAATGCTGGAAACTATCTGACAGACAGGCATTCAAAAGCACTCACCGTAGATAAAAAAACAAAACAAAACAAAACAAAAAAACAAAAACAGAGAACATCTTTACAACAGGTTTTAAGGAGACCTTCAGAGTTTTATGTTGCTTAGTCAGTAAAAGGCAGATGAGGGGGGAGAGGACTTAAGGGGGGAGAAGGGTTAGGGTTACACGTGTGAACTTTTATTTCAAGTTTTTAGTGGTTCATTCCCAAATAGATTTTCTCACCTTCCACGCACAGTGTCAGCATCACACTTATCTGCTAATGGATACGTCATAGAAGGCGCAAAATGCAACCAACTCCCTTTCATCTAACAGGCAAACAAAAATAAACTGTATAATCTATTTTTGACTTAGAGAAAGGCCAAGAATATAAGAGCAACTTATTTGAAAAGATCAAATTCTGCATTTACAAGTGTATCAGAAAGCTACGGCCCCTCTGCAGTCACGCATGCGCAGGTAAGCAAAGCTCCCGAAGACAAGAACCCTTTCTTTTTGCTCACACGTGTCCCCAGCACACAGGGCGTGCTCAGTGACTATTTGCAGATCAATGCAAAAATGCACTGATCATCAAAAAAGACAAATAGTTTAGTTAGTATACCTTCAGTATTTAAGTGTTATTCTAATTCTTCAATAACCACATGTGGTATATCTCAAATAATTAAAACTTTTTCCAATCATTTTGGGTAAAAATACATATACTATAAACTACTTGTGAGTAAAGGCTTTTTTTTTTAAGATTTACTTCATTTGTTTTCCCCCAGTCCCTCTCCCTCTTTTTTTGGAAAGAGAGAGAGAGAGAGAGAGAGAGAGAGAGAGAGACAGACAGACAGATAGATATCTTCCATCTGCTGCTGGTTCCTGCATGGCCAACCCAAAGCAAGGAGCCCTACCTGGGCCCACCCGCGGCTGCAGGTCCCGAGCTCTCAGGCCTTCTGCTGCTTGTCCAGGTGCATTAGAAGGGAGCTGGATCAGACCTGGAGTAGCTGGTTTTGAACCATACCACATATAGCAGCTTAACCCATTATGCTACGAGACCTGCCCCAGGGATATTATTTATATGAAATAAACAAAATTTATCAATTCAACAAATACTCTGAATAAGTATTCAGTGGGCATGGGGCACTGTATTAGAAGTTAAGGATGCACTGTGAACTGCCCCTTCCCCCAACTACTTTCACTCTAAGAAAATTTTTGTTCAACTAGGTTCCTCCTCCAGTTGCGTAGAATTTATTACAATACATGCCTCATTGTATTACAGCTTAATTCTGTCCTGGTTGAGAAAGACTGGTCTAGAAAGTCACATAAGTTAAAAGGTAATTAAAACCCAATAAAATAAAACCGTTTATTTTAGATAATATCAAGCTCAGGTGTTAAGCCTAGATGTGTGTGAACTGATAGGAGTCAAGACAGATAGACCATTTAATAAAATGTGTGGAAATGCGAAAATATTGTGAAACACACATGTGAATATATTTATAAATATAATAAAGTCGTTATTTGCCAGGTCCAGCAGCCTTGTGGCAAGGTTATCAGAAAAGTGGAATAAAATAAGATAAATCACTCTGATAACTTAAGCAACAAATCAAAAATATTCCTGCTTTGGGGGGAAGAAGCCACCATTATCCGAAATCTGTGCTAACTGCCCTCATATATTACTTCATTGAGCTCTGCCTTACCCGGAATCCGGTAATAAATTAGCCACTTATTTCATCAATTGTTATTTTGAAGCTTCTGTCTCAGTTTGAATTTTATTACTGGTTCTGTGGTCTCATTTCTCTGCAGTAGTGGATGTCTTTCCCTGCTGAGATGTATTCTGTGTAATAGTTTTACAATATGCTGTATACTTACGGAACAAGAGCAGTTTTGAGAGCTTTCCGCATTAGATATCAATTTACTACATTTTCTCATTAGAAAATTAAGTTTTCATTATTAAATGTGCAGAAATGTGTAACTGTTATATATTACTCTCCAACAAGCTAAGCTGGAAACATCTAGTTGGCTAATTCCCCTTACAAAATGTCTTATTTGAATATTTTAGCATGAAATAATTTAATAAGCCAAAAAGTCAGGATTTTCATTCAGACTCTCAATAAGTCTTTTAACTTATGTGAAAATGATATTACACCACCGGAAAATCACTAAGTTTAAAAGATACAGAATCACACAAAAGTTCATGACACGTAAGTCTCAACTAGCCCATATTTCTGCCTCAATGTGCCTCTACAGGAAACACAAGCGTATGGGCAAAGCCACTATGATTATTATACTTAGGGGGATATAGGGACAGGAGACGCTTCTACTGCAGTCAGATAGCCAACTCAAATCTTTTAATATACCCTCTACATGCCTAAATCCTAAAATGCTGTACATCAAATCCAATTTTTTCCACAATAAAAACTGTCAAGAGAAAACTATTAATTCATCAGAAAGGAAGGGATGCAATAACAAATGGCAACGGCGTCTAGGACAGGTCTTTCAAAAACATAATGAAGCACTATTTCAGCTGGGAATTGGAAAACCCAGGGAACTGCATGGTAGCATTTTTAAAATGACCTAGCAAACACCATTGAGCTACGGAAGATAAGACTCCTAAGAGATTTGCACTTGCCAGATTAGATTTTAAAATGTCAACAAAGTCCTTTTCTAACAAGTTGGTTCTTTAGTTTTCAATGACCAACAAGTACAAGCCACATTCAAAGCCAATTTCAAAAACGTCGAACGGGGAGTGCCCCTGAAAGGAGACGCGTGTGCTTCCCTGACCTCAGGCATCTCAAAGTTTGCCCCTACCACCGAAATTATAAAGCCAATTTTAGCAATGACTCATGGACGATACTTTCCATTCCATTCAATGGTGTGCTGTTTAATTCCTTATTCTAGGCCCAGGGCTTAAATACAGCTACAAAGAACCTCCCAGCTACTACTGTACTGCTGCAGCTGCCCAGGACTTACCACAGTCATGGCTGTGCAGGAGAAAGCAAGACAATGAGGTCAAGGCTCCCTTCAGTGTAAGCCCCAGTGACTCTCCGCAGAGAGCTTGGTTGGAGATGCAGAGTGCTGGTCTCCAGCCTGCAGGCTGGCACTTCAACAACTGCTGCAGATTCTGCTGCATGGCCAGCTTTCCTGAGCCAGCACTGCCTAATGACTACAGTCTGGGCCAATGCAGATCACTCACTCTTAGTCAAAAGGGAAGCAAAGAGGGCTTTTAGTCCAGTTCTTGGCTTGTTCAGTTTGAAACACCCAAATGCTCTTTTTAAAGAACGGGATTTCAACAACCCAGCTGTATAACAGAGGAGTGCCACAGGAAAAGATTTTATTAAATATTACGTTGCGTTCTCAGTCACTGTCCCCCTTCTTTCACCCGTAAACAACAATCCAAAATGACCAGAATCTAGGCAAAATAGAACCATGAGTACAATGGTCATTTACTCCCGGGATAAATGTGAATCAGATTTTAGCAAAGCCTCCTGAGCAAGCCTTTTTTTTTTTTAACGACGCTGAAGTTCCTCTGAGGTACGGGCACCCTTCACTGCTCGGAGTCACTAGTTAAGGATCTAATCCAATTTCACACTGCTTGTCTCCAGGTGAGGTTTCCATTTACAAGAACGCTGGCACACCACTTCTCTGCTGATCATCTCCTAAAATAGGGGTCTTGCAAGTGGTACTATCAGCCAGGGTGTATTTTATGAAATTTTCCGATGCAGGGGGGAAAAGGAGGGCAATTCACTCTTGGTATGAAAAATCCATTAGTAATGCTCCAATTTGAGAACAACTGCCAGAAGAGAAGGAGCTTGGCAAGTTCCCCCACATGTGTTCTGAGCGGGAGGCGGGGAGAGCCCGAGCTCGGCACTCAGCCCTTTTTCTTCACTACAGAAAAATCCAAATCTGCACATGAAGCCTTTCTTTGTCGTTGGCAAAATAAATAAATAAATAAAAATACAAAATCCTAGTCCCACCATGTCCTTCTGACATGAAGGGAGTTGCTAGCAATACCAGCATGGAAGTAAATGGCCCCTGTTCTCCATTCTTACACGTACCCTTTAAGCAGTAAACAGGTGACTCAAAAAAAGGAGCAAAAAATCGCGTTTCTCTCGATTGAAGTCCCAGGGCAACGAAATGCCGGCCCCGGGGGCCTGGCAGGGGGAAAGGTGGGACGGTACCGGCGGCCTCCCCCAGATGTGCGTGTCACGGGCATCCCGCTGTCCCCCAAGCCTCTCACTGGCGCCCCGCGCAGCAGCGCGGCCACCCCGCGTCTGCACCTCCACCCAGCCCGCTCTCACGATGCCCTCAAGGGAGCTTCCTAGGCTGGCTCCCCAAAGTTCGCCTGGCCTCCGGTCCCCAGGCTCCCCGCGGGGACGAGCCCCGGGCGAGAGTTGCCTGCCGTCCCAGCCTCCAGCCCCCCAGCCCCGGGCACCGCAGCAGCTCCTCTTTTCGGGCCACACGGACAGGTCTGGATTTACCTCCGTGTGCTCCCGGCAGAAGAAACAAAAGAAAGCTTCCTCCCACATAGTAAAACGCCATGTTCGACTAATTGGCCAATTGGGGGGCGCGGGGGTCGGCTCCCCCAGCGCCCAGCTCCAAGGGTTAGCCCCTGGTACCCAAACTGTCCCGGGGGCGGGGGACCCCGGGAGCCCGGCCCGCCTCCCCACCCCGGCCGCCGGGGCGCCGCGGTCCCGTCCGAAGGAGAAAGGGCGGCCGCGGTGTGTGCCCGCCCGGCAGCGGCGCCCGGGGAGCCGGCGGGCACGGCGAGCGGCACGCGGGCAGCCGCGGCGAGAGTACTTACAAAACGGCTGAAGGTCCGGCGGAACATCGCGTCCAAGGCTGCCGGGCGCTGCGCGGGGCTGCTCCTGGGCTCTCCGGGAGGACGGCCGTCCACGAGACACACTGCGGCGGGGGGCCGGCGGCTCGAAGGCGGCAGCGGAGCGGGCTGCTCGGCCGCCCGCCCCCTCGGGCCCCTGCCGCCCACGCCCTAGCGCCCCGCCTCGCTCCCGGGGGCGGCGGCCCCGTGGCGCCCCCGGCTCAGCCCGAGGAGCGGGGCGCGCGGGGGCGGGCCGGCGGGGCTCGGCAGCTCCTGCACGGGGCGCGCGCCGGCCCGGCGCAGAGCCACCGCAGCTGCGTCCCCGCTCGCCTGGGCGGCCGCTCCTCGGGGCACGAGGGAGCGCCGTGCCCCACCTCGCCTCGGCCCGCCACTACCGCGCCCGCGTCGGTCGGGGAGCGCGGCTCTCCTCGGCCGGCCCCTCACTCGTCCGCCGCGCCGCTTCCCTCGCAGCTCCTCCTCGAGCCCCGCGTTCGCGTCCCGCAGCCGGGCTGGGGAGCCTGAACGCCGCCCGCCCGCCCGCCCAGTGCCCGCGAAACGGCCGGGCTCTCGCAGCTTCCCGGCTGGGAGGAGGAGCCGGGCTCGGGCGGGGGCACTGAGCCCCGAGAGGTGAGCGCTCGTCCTTTGCCTCTCCCACCTCCGCACTTCTCCCTCCTCCCGCTCTGCCTCCCTACCGAAGCCTCCGTACTTCCACCTTCTCCGCAAGAGTGTAAAGTCAGGCTTTGTGTCGTCGCTGCTGCGCAGCGGGGCGGGATTTCCCTGCCACCACCCCGCTACCCCGACCCCTCCCGCGCGGCTCCTCGTTCGCATGGCTCGCAAGGCAGCCTGGGAGTTGTAGTCCGACCGCTCCACTACTCGTCCCCGTAAAGCAAGCTGGGAGCTCCCCCACACGCCCGGCCGGGGTTTGCCGGTGCGGAGCAAGGAGGAAGCGGCTGAAAGCCTCTCTGCCCAACTGCGGAACTCTGCACTTTCTGTAGGTGGACGCCCAGAAGCGCTCGGAAGCTTTCCTAGCGGTGGGAAATGATTTCGGAAACCGATAAGTTAGACAAAGCCCCGAACGCAGGGTGGCTTCCCTGGAACGCGAATTTTGCGCTCCGGGAAGCCCTCTACGCACCCGGGCCCTAGCGTAGAACACGAATTTGAGAAACTTGAGAAAGGAAAAATGAAAGCTCAGTGAAGACTCAGCATGTCCCCCTTCCCTACCCCCACTGCGCCAACCCCAACCCCGCTCCCTTTTCGCTGCCCGCTAAGGCGGGGCCTGAGCCTGCTGGAGAACTTCAGATTGTTCTGTTAATGTGAAGGAGAAATAAGTGAAGGACAGTGTTCGCACATCTATGCCCAGCGGACTCGGCCCCGCCACCGCCTCCTACCACCTCAGAGCTGAGGACCAAGCCCAGATAGCCAGAGGCCGCCCTCGGGGAGCCAGGGGCCTGTAATTACTGCTGGGAGGCGCCGGCGCTTCTCGCCGTCCCCTTTGGGCTTAGAGGCCGGCGCTTAAACCTTTCCCGGGCATTTTCTCTGCTACCAGGCGCTGTGTGGGGGCTGGACAGGTACAGACAGTGCCTGAAAGACCTTCCCAGCCGGTGGGGCAGTCTAGTTACAGGCTACAAATAAGCGAAAAGGACTGCTGGAGTGGAAGTTCAAAGTGCTGCAGGAAATCCGGGCAAGCATTTGCATCTGTGAAGGGTCTGGGAACACTTGCCCAGCCCCCCAAAGTACCAAAGGGCAAGGGCGAGGGAGAGGTCCTTCAGGCCTGGCAGACACCCAGGATGGCTGGTTGGGGGCCACTGGAATGAAAGTTAAACCCAGAAAGGGTCTTCGGAAACTCTCGGAAGTGAAAGCTTTATTCTTATAACCAACAGAATTTGGGGGGGAGCCTTTTTCCCCCCCAAATTGCAAATGCAGGTGACAATGTTTGTTCCCAAGCTGTCCTTCAAACATGTACAACCTCAGACAAGTAAAATCCTTCAGACAAGTGAGATCCTCTATGAGGATTCCTTTTGCATTTAATGATTTTTTAAGACTTAGGCTAAATGTGTCTTAATCAAATATTAAGACATTGACAAATGGATGTGAAATTTCCTCCACTACTTCAAAAATATCCTTTTAAAATGGAGGGGTCTTTTTCTATTTTGCTGAACATAGCAACTACTATAATTTCATTCACTTGCTTTTGAACAACTGGTACGTGGCAAGCATTATTGTAGATACTGATACAGGAACTGGGTTCTGTCGTACTTTCTAGGCTGAAGTTTGAAGTTCTTATCATGAAATGCATCGTTATCAGTAAAAATAAGTATACAAAACAGACATTTTGAGATTCCAGTGCTTTGTAATAAATAATACATTTTCATATTCAATTTTGTTAAACAAATGGAAAAAATATTTAAACAGCCAAGCACAATAACATAAAAATACTGACTTATATTCCTTTTTTCAGTATTTTCGCAGACTTCTTCATTATCACGTTCTAGCAGATTAAACATAGGGATTTTAGAACTCCCAAGATTCAGCAGTATTAATTGTCGTATTTTCATTTGTTATAATTCCACTCTTTGTGCTAATTTATTTCAGTACAACACCTACACTCATGTGTCTAGACTAATCTGTTCGACTATAAACATCCAATGCCGCACAAATCGAGCTTTGCTCAGCAAGGCATGAAATGTACGCAGTTGATTTTTTCCACATGCAAACGAACCTGAAATTAGAGCTACTCTAACACATACTCTTTAAAGTCACCTTTTGTGAGGTGTCTCTAAAACAAGGATTATTTTTGTTCTTTTCAGTGCCTCTTCAGTTTCTAAAGAAAACTCAGGTGTTGCGGGAACAAAAGCTGTTGCTGTCGAGTATGAAAAGCAGCTCATGGGCAGACCGTAATTTTCATTTGGCCAACTCCATAAACAAAGCAGCCTGTTGCTTGAACCTGCACGCCGAGGGGCACATTCCAGGCTTCCAGTTGGCCACTGATTTGCAGCACAAGCCAGCAGGTAAGAATTCAGAGGAGTCTTCTGTCTTTACAAGCAGCCTGACCAGAATGTTTGCTGCCTTGTGCAGGGAGAGCTCTTTGACTTACAATCTGTGGACTGATGTCTGTGCAAGCCACTTGAGAGCCCTTCTGTATTACATCCTCCCCTACCTCCCACCCCTTCCCCACCTTCCACCCCTCCCCCATTGCTCTACCATCTTCCTCAACTTACTGGGAGTCTCATTGTGGTGAATGAGCAGAGCAACCACTAGGACACAAGATGCAAGCCACAATTGTGAAGGAAGAAAGCAAACTGCTCCTGAGATCAGTGCGCTGCTCAGCAGATTAGTTGTTTAGTGGGAGTAGAACACGGAAGAAAATAAATCACTTCTACTACCAAAAAGGGGAAAAAACAGGAAGAAAGGAAAACTGAATCTGTTAGAAACTGAATATATGACTTCATCCTGTTATTCTCCAAATGAAAGCATCCAACTATCCTTAACAAACTTTCAAACGTGTCTTGTAAGAATACCTTTGGCTTGTGTGAAATATCATTTCGCCCATCAAGATTGATGTTATTTGAGATCCATTTTACTTATATCTTCCAAAGCATTAGCCTTCTCCACACTGCAGCCAATAGAAAGCCTAAGACAAAGCCATAAAGTCAGCCCCTTGTTTATGACTTCCATAGCTTCCCATTGCCCCTAGGATGAGTCAAAGCTCCTGCCTTAACACTTAGCCGGCCCCCCAGTTCTCTGCCCCCGCCTGCATCTCCACTCCTCCCTCTCACTGCCCTGGCTTCACCTCCCTCCACCTTTCAATCCTTGAGGAACCAGAGCTCCCTTTGTTTCCAGACGGCATTCGCACCTGCCTTTCCCGTGCATCCCTCTGATTTTAGCTGAAATGTCACTTCCTCAGAGGAGATCAGAGCTGCCTGTTACTGTGCTCCAAATAGCCCATATTAATTACATCCCAGTGTACTGACAGGAGGTGAGTAATCCTGGAGAAGGGCAGAAGTCCAAGGCATTGAGAATGATCTAATAGCATATTGCTTCTCAAAAAGCAGAAGATGTATTCTAGTAATCATGAAATCAAATGCAGGCAAAGTTCTAGACTTGACGATTAAAAGGATGGGCTTTTAAAATCACAGTAGAAAGGTAGAGGAAAAGTTACGAAGGCTATGGTTTAAGAATCCTAAATCTTTCTTATAAGTCAGTATATATCAGTATGATTATTTAGGCATAAGGAGGTAAATAGCAAAAAACCTTTATAATAATGCTAAGTACATGCCTCTGCCAACACATTTTGAAAATGCCAAAGAAACAGATAAGGCACTTGTATTTTTTTTTTCTGTATAAGCATTATAACTGAATTTCTTAAGTCATGGCTTGTGACGCTAATATCTGCTATTGGAATGCCTGATAGAGTCCTTGCTCTGCTTCTGTGTCAGCTTCCTGCCAATGTGCCTGGGAAGGCAGATGAGCATGGGCCAAGTAATTGGACCACTACCGCCCTTGTGGTATCCAAGGCTGGAGTTCCTGGCTTCTGCCTTCAGCCTTTCCCAGCTCTGGCTGCTGCTGCCATTTGGGAGTGAATCAGCAGACAGAAATGGAGATAGGAAAACAGAGGGTCCAGGAAGGCCAGTGCTGGAGAAAAACAGAAATAGGAAACAGATTACTGATTTGTTTGCCCAGGCAAAGAATAGTACTCAGAAAGGTTTTATAGTATTGTGAGATTAGTGATAGACACAGAAAGTGAAGCTAATAAACAGGGGCGGGGCACAGTTCTTAAATCTGGGAAGCCACAACATTGTTAACAAAATAAATGAATCAGGAAAAAATATACTTTGGCTGCATGGTGAGAGACATTTATATAAACCTAATAATTAAAACAATGCATTATTGATTTACTAAGTTAGAAATCCTTTGAAAGATGAAGGAAGAAAGAGTTGGAGAAGATTCTTTTGTCAAAAATGTAAATTTCTGTCTTCCATAAAAGGAAGGAAATACCATTTATCTAAAAACTATACTATATAGAGATGCAAAAATGAATACAAGAAAACAGCTAAAACTTTTTGCTTTATAAGCTTTTTAAATCTGTATCTCCCTCTCTCTCCTTCCCTCTGTCACATAATAAAATCAAAAAGTCTTTTGAAAGATTTTATTTTTATATGAAAG